TAATGATGAAAAACGAAAAGTGATGCTAATTAAACAATGACAAAAAAAGAATCTAATTAAATCTTAATGGTAAATAGGTGGTTGGTTGATTGCAAGAAATAAATGAATGAATGAATCAGGAATGAGGAAAAATCAATTAATATTTCTTCGTTTTATTTTTTATTTTTGCTATAAAATTTCTTTTTTTTTTCATTACTGATTCATTGAATAAGATGATGATGGTGATGATAGAAAACGCAATTTTCATTGTAGAATATATCCGGCATTTGACATGAATGCCGTATTATTATTATTTTGGAACAATCCAAATACACTCAAACTCGTATACATAGAAAGTGATTGCATTTTGTTACAGACATGGGTTACGTCAAGTGGAAGATCAGTATGTGTGTGTGTGTGTGTATGTTTCAATGGTTGCTCATAATATTATGCATTAGATATCAGATGATGAGATGCGTTCCAGTTTTGTTGAATTGTTAAAATCTTTTTATTTTCTAGAGATAAATGGCTGGGAAATTGAAATTATTTTTTTGTTCAGACCCAGAACTTTTATTGCCTTCATCAACATTATTGTATTTTGTCTGTATGTGTGTGTGTGTGTTTTTTCCCAACTCTGTACATCATGTTTCATAGATGTTTAACAACTGCATTGCCTAAAACAACAATTTAGTTGTTGGGAAAAAAAAGTTTGCTACAATCAACCAAAGAAAATTTTCAATTCGGTGATAAAATTAAATTTTTCCGTTTATATTGTGGATGCGTGTGTGTGTGTGTGTTCATTGCCGGTATAAATTTAGTTTCTGTTTAGTTGCGAGTATTTTTGCATATTTTTTTTCTGGTTACGTTTTTTTCCCCCACTTGATTTCACATGTACAATGTGTGTGTGTGATGAACAAATTCTGGATCGCAATTTTGGTAAAAAATTTTGTCGGCATTTTTTCATCATCATTTCGATTCTTACTATGGTTTTGTTTTGTTTTTGTTTTTCGTTTAATTTTCCTATATTCATGGGCATCAATGGTGATTCAAATTTTATTTGCTTTCACCGTGAATCATAATCTCGTCTTTACTCTTTAGTCATAATAATATTCATTCATTTGTCGATGCAAATGTTTTTTTTTATCACCATATATAAACCAAGCGCATAAAATCATATTTTTAAAAAAAAATTGAGCTTATTTTTCATATTCGATTTTTTCTTTCTTCATTTTACCACAAGATCATTTTTTGTATTCTTGATTTAACTTGCCGACTGATATATTGTCTAGTCGATTAAATTATCGTTTATATCGTTTATTGGTAAAAATGTTAACAACAACAACAACAACAAAAACCATTGAATTTTAGAATTTTTTCTCTTTCTTTCTCAACAACAACAACAAAAAAAAATAATGAATTCTTTCAACTCGTTTATACATGATTTTCAACTTTCGATTCATATCATTGATTTAAGATGAAAGATTGAAGATTTAGATTTTTCCAATCAACAGAAAAAAAATCATTGACAGTCATAATGTAAGGATTATTACTGAAAAAAAATTTGCGTTGGTAGATAATTATTGTAATGATTGAATATATTCATGATCTTGTCACTGTTGTTGTTGTTGTTGTTTTTTACTATAGTTAACATCAATTATTAATTGACAAATTCGGTTTTTTTTTCATTTTCACATTTCGACAATAATCATAAGCCCTAAAGGACTGTTGTTGTTGTTGTTTAGTATCCGTTTTTGTTTTTCCCTTCTCTTCATTCAGGTCAACTTAAGCAATAGATAAAAAAAAATTTACTAGGATTGGTCAATTTGACAAACGATACAATGATTATGATTTTATTATTGACAAGTAAAAAATTTTGTTTTTTTTCTACCAGACCATATATAATCATAGCCATCGACATCATCAACAGCAACAAACAACAAAAAACGACTATTAAGAAATGAAATTAGATTTGCAATTGAGAATTAGTATAGAATTTTCTCTAGTACGACATCATCAAATGATGATGATGATGATGAACATTCGTGGCTAAATACAAATTAGATCTGCATGAATATTTTCTTACTTTTACGTTCATTTTTCTTTTTTTTCTCTTACTATGTGTTTCACTCATTTTAATGAATGCCTTGTATGTATACCCGTGTTTGTGTGTGTTGATCATCGTTCCGGCAACAACAGCAAAAAAAACAAGCATTTTATAAAAATGACATCGTTTAACAATTCTAAACACATCCTACATGTGAAACAAAATCAACCATATAAACGAACCATTGAATCGTATCAACGAATCGTATATACGATTATTATATGGCCACATGCATTTTGAGATTGAAAGTTTAATGAAATCAAGTCAATTGGAATTACTATGATGGCCATAATAATAATAATAATAAAACGAACAAACTAAAAAAAAAATTCTTATATTCAATTCAAATACATCCACGGATATGATCAAACGGATTTTGGATTTGGATGAGGGTAGTGTGTTTTTTTTCTATTGCTTTTCCATTTATTCATTCATTCATTCTTACGAAATGCTAAAGCTTTCATAGATGTTCACTGTGTTGGGATGAAAAAAAAAGAAATTGCTCACTAATGAAGATGATGATGCAAATCAACATATATAATATGCAAATTTTGTCTAGTTCCACCACCACCACCATCATCATCATGTGGCGATTCGTTGTATATTTCGTTTATTGCTTGTGTAAGAAAAAAAAATTGAATTCGTTGTCGTCGTCGTCGTCGTTGTTGTTGTTATTGTTTGGTCTATCCATTTCTTTTGGTTTTGAATACAAAAAAAGAATATATACCTACACACAAATACAAACATCAATTCACAATGTTTGGTTCATTACCCAGCGACAACAATCATCATCATCATCATCATTCGCATCAAAGAACACAAAGATTTTAGTCGATAGAGGAAAAAGATTATATTCTGTTGTATGTCGACCATCATCATTGGAAAATTATCATTTAGCCTTCGTTCATCATGTGACATTATTCTGTTGTCCTATGATTTTGAGATTTTGTTTTTTTTTTTTGTCAATTCCATTCTCTAATTCAGAACGATGAACGAGTACAATAATCAACAAGAAAAAAAGGACAACCTATTGAAGAATAATAATGAAACTCATTATGAAATAATCATCCATTGAATTGTTACTACAATATTGTATTCATTCATTCGTATATGACTGTATTTTTCTGGTATATAATTCTGGAAATGGTGACCATTTTTAATTGTTTTCTGTAATGTTATTCTTAGACACCGAAATATATTTGGTAAATGTAATTAAACTTGATGATGATGATGACCAAATACTATTCTAATTTTTTTTTGTTTACATTTCATGATCATTAGGCACCATCTATCGATCTACCTGTGAACTTGTATTCGTATGAAAATTTTATAAAAAACGAAACGAAATCAAAAAAATAGAAATTAAAATCAATTTGAACAAGATTGATTCATCTTACAATATGAGATTTGGTATTTGGTTCAGAATTTGTTCATTCAATTGGAAATTATTCCCATTTTTTTTCCATCGAAGAGAATGTGTTTAGTATTGAAATCAATGCAACAAAAAAAATCGATAGAAATCATTAGGTTCGTTATCGGAAAACGTCAATATGTATGAAAATCATATAGCACACATACGCTCAATTTTTTTTCTATTATTCATTAATTCTGCCATCAAATAATGATGATGATGAACTGCAGGCTGCAATGAGGATCAAATGCAAATAAATCATTCAAGTTATTGAGTTATATTTTTTTGTTGTTGTCAAAAAGAAAGAAAAATTATTATAAAGATCCTTGATCCTTTCGATCCTGGGGTAATGGCTGACTGAATTGTATATTAAGGATTGATTTTATGCTAAATTTGTTTCCGAAATATGCAAAATAAAAACTTGATTGTTGTTGTGACTTTTTTCCTGTCTCTATTTATTGTTTGAGCATCCATTTCACATTGAATTTTCACAACAACAAATAGGGAGTGATGAAGTCAGTCAGTCAGTATTTTATTTTTTCTTTTCATTGAAAAATCATTGATCTAATTTCAATTCAAACATCGCCTATGTATTGAACCCAATTATACACTTGTGAATGGGGTGGTGGTGGTGGTTCATAAGTTTATTTGAAATTTTTCATTGTAATATTTTTTTTCCTTTCAATACGATTGAATGATTTCGAATAATAATAATAATTTGAATCAAGTTATCGCATGCAGAATAATGCTTAAACAAAAAACAGGGTTAAAAAAGATGTTTGAATCTGTGTTTAAAAAATAAAAATTCCAGCTTTCGGATTTTTTTTTCCAGTGAAAATTCCGTATTTATTGACCCGTCCATTTCAATAATAATGTTGATTCGTAATTTTTTTTTGGCGTAAAATTGAAATTGCTTTTTATTTTTTTTGCTCATTCCATCGTCATCGTTTTGATCTGTTTTGTTTGTTTATTTATTTTTTTTTTGAAACACATGAACACATTGAATTCGACACATGGAATCTCTATTTAGATTTTCAATGATTGATCCAATATTTCCAGTGATTGTGTGTGTGTGTGTGTAAATATATGTGTGGGCTAGACATCATTTAGTCTTATTTAGCTAGAAATAGAAATTTTTTTTTATTTTTTTGTCCAAATCGATTTGTACTCGTCACGAATGAACGATTTTAAATCATAAAACATTTTATATTGATAATATTCAAACTTTGGAATTCCGTATATATTCCAGAAGAAAATTCATAAGGTTTTTTCCATCATTTTTTTGGCCATTAGATTTCCAGAAAAAAGTCTTTATCTCACTGCTATCTGATCTTATCACATTTTTTTCTACAACTACTATTTCTTGTACATGGTTTCAATGGAATTGGGTATTACCTCGTTCAAAGGAAAAAAAATGTTAACGAATAATGACATACAAAAGATGAAAAATAAACTTGGCCAATTTCTTTATTTGTTACAGAAAAAAAAACCTATAGAACTAAATCTTCGTCTAGTATTCCTGGATAAATTCTAATTCATTTGATATTCGTGAACAACAGTGCACACATAGTTCTTGTGAATCAAACAAATGGAAAAACAAAACTAAAACGAATGAGTATTACATTATCTATTGATTTTGACTTTTTCACATCGCCAACCTAATCATAATAAATTGGTCTCAAAGATAATGGTTTAACATCAACATCAACATATCAGAAAAAACTGCTGGTCTGATCAATGTAGATTCTGAAATCATCATCATCATCATCATTCACGATGAATAGTGAATTGAAAAAAAACCCACACAAATGTTATCCAGAATCTATTCGTCGTCTTGAAATTGAAAAAATTTCATTCAATTCCCGTGATACGATCACGTACATTTTGTCCATTTGCCATGCTCATGACTTTGATTTTTTTTCTTTTGCTTTTAATTTACTTTTAGGATACTGATTCTTCCCGAAGACATTCTCTATTCCATTGAACAAATTCATTTTCCCAATTCGATACAATGTGAGTGATTCCATTTAATTTTTTCGTTTGAAATTTTAAAATTTTCCAGAATTTTCCAATATTCGTAACTTGAATTTTATCTATTCCATTTTTCCTAGATAAAAAAATGACTTTAACATTTGGTATGCTTGTTTGTGTGTTTGTAATAAAACCTTACCTTGGAAAATAATGATGACAAATTAATTTCTTTTAGGTCTTTTTATTGTTGTCACATTAATTCGTTTATATTGTCCGTCTGTCTGGCATGTGAACATTCCTGTCAACTATTTCAAAAAAAATTTAATGTTTTTAGATGTAAAACGATAATTGCTTACGTTTTTTTGCTGTTGTTGTTTTTGGACAATTTTCAAATTTTTCTCATAGTGTCTGGCCACACTATTTTTGACCGTAAAAAAAATCCCTAGACATATTTATTCAATCAATATGGCTTGAGGCATGCAGACACAACAACGTATACGTAAAAAAAGAAACGATAAAACCATATAATTTTTTTCCATTGTATTGATTTATTACTTTTTCATAATGTAAGAAATTATTAAATGTGATGATTAATCCGGCAATGGCCATTTATGATAATCATAGAAAAGACATTGGTATTCCAAAAATAATTAACAATGATCAAGAGCAAGATGGTTGACGACATTATTTATTTCTTTAAAGAAATAAACGTTGGATCAAATGCACGTAGAATTCCGATTAGGTTAAGTCGATGATGACGATGATGATAATTCAATATCATTGATGGCAGAAGGAGCCACCACTGCCACATTTAGATGATTAATTTTTTTATTTTTAAAAAATAATGATCAATTTTTTAGAATGTTGTTGTTGTTGTTGTTTAGAACCACCCGAATTGTTTGTTTTTTTTCAAAAATTTTGTTGACTATGATAGTGGCTGATTCATCAATTGTAATCGATAATTTTAGATTACCTATTGGTTGGATAGAGTGGAAAATCAATTATTTGTTTTTCGTTTATTTGTTTAGTTGTCAGCTGTGAATCGATAAACTATATATAGTGAGAGTATTTATCCTTGAAAATAGTTTCTATAGCTAAAATCATAAAAAAATTATTAGTATCAAATAATTTTGGAATCGACTGTCTAATTTTTATTTCAACTCATATTGATGTTTTTTCCGCTATCATAAAATCATTGAAGAAATAAACACATTCTCAATTTATATACACATCAATTAACGTTTTGTTCGGAATGACATGGAATATATATATAAAAAAAAATAAACGAAATTCAAAATTGTTATTCAAATTCATTTCCAATGAATTGATGATTGTCAAATTGGCTATAATGATAATTTAGATTGAATTGGCGAATATCGCATTAATTTATCTTGTTTTTTTTCCTTAAATTTCCAAATTTGTAAAACTAACCAAAGAAAATACCATACTCAAATGACTTGGACCGTTTCTTTAAGTAAAAATAAATAAACTATTCATTTATTGTCAGAGTAATTAACAATAATGTTGACCACCATAATGATCATTGTGTGTGTGTGTGTGTTGACAAACTGATCCGTTTGTTTTAGTTTATGGTCCAAATTACAGCAATTTCTTATCTTATTCTATTTCAAAGAAAGAAATACGATCCATTAAGATCGATAGTCAATCGATTTTATTTCTCTCAATGATGGTCATTATATTATAATAGTGATTAATAACTCATTGTCAATACCATTTTCACACAATTAAGGTATAGCTCAGCTCTTCCCAAACTATGGTCCACGACCAAGTACTATTGGTCTACGGCCGAAAAAGTTTGGAAAACGCTAATATAGCTTCGCATTGTTTCGGAAAAGTTTTTCTCGTTTGCATTTTTTTTTCGTTTTTGTCTTCGTTTTGTTTTCCTGTTCCTATTTGCAAAATGGAATGTAAATGTAAACAACATCTGAATAATATCTTTGTTTATTTGTCGACACGAGACGAATGGGAAAAACCATCACTACTATGATAATAACAATGAATGTGGACAATTATATTTTAGTAATCATTGATCATTTGATATTGAAATTTTGAACAGATGTCTAAATGGATGCAATCGGTTGTTTACTATTTACTTTCAATTTTTTTTTTTATTTGTATTGAAATAAATGAATTGTAAGTTGTTTTTCTACAAAATTTCACATACTTTTATGGATAGATCATGAAAATCTGTGTTTTGTTTTTGTTTTTTTAATTCTTATTGAGATTCATTTATAGACGAAATCAATTTTACATTTTTAAATATAGAAATGATATGTGTGATTATCATTAATTTATCAAACTTCAATGTAAGTTAGAGAAAATAAGCATCAGGTAGCTGAAACAATATGAAAACAAAAATAAAACAAACACATTCAATTGTCTTTGTAAATAAATGTATAAATAAGATTCGATATGCCAGTACACACACAAAAGAAAAAATGAACATTTTGTTCAGAAACAAAATCGTGCCAGTTTTCCTCGTCTAAGAATTCGACCACCTTGACAAAACCACCACCTTATTATTAAAACAACGACGTATTTTAGAAAAGAAAAAAAGGTCGAATAAATGATTCGAATCGAATTCCTGTATGCAAACAATAGAAGACAAGATTTTTCTAGTTTTTCTTTTTCTCTTTTTGTTTCTTTTGTCTTAAATTAATGAACAATTATGTATACCTAAGAATAAAATTACCATGCAAGGTACATGTATTGCTTATTGTTGATTCATAATGTTGATGATTTTCAATGCTGTATGATTGTTTATTTATGGTGACCATTTTGGCCATTTACGAATCAACCAACTGGAATATTACGCTTGAATGTTTATTTATCATCAAATGATTATTATACACCTCGTTAATCAATTAGCCACTAATCAAAGACACATTCCAAAGCCACCGCCACCACCACCACCATTACAATGGATCAAAAAGGTCGTTTCTTCGTATAATTTAATGCCAATTCAATTCGTATGAATCCTGATGATTTATAATTCGTAATTCAATCAATCAAATCGATCGGATTTTCTTTTTCTCTAGTATAAATTGTCTATGAGATTGATTATATCGATCGATCCAATGAAAATGAAAGAATTCAATGTGTTTGGAGGCGATTTTTTTTTTTTTTGTTGATATATTCATTTATTAATTGAAGTTTTTGTCAACTAATTTATTAAGAATCGAATTATGCATGTAATAGTCGAACAAGGTCAATTCATATAAGTCTTGATTCAACTTTTTTGAACAATTTCAATATAATGATATAAATTAATGCTTAATTCTTGTTACTATCGTTTCCTATTTTGGTCTTTTAAATTTCCTAAAAAAAAAATTTCCTTTTGCTATTTTGCCTTCAGCCATCTGGGTGATGAATATATTCGTTATTCGAATATGAATGTGATTTTCAAGCATTTCATAATGATCGAAATTGTTATTTTTCGTGATGACCTTGTCCAAGAATAAAGGTACAAATTTTTTTTCTTATCACTTTTTCACTTTTCCAATGGATTTGATTCGCAAATGGTTTATATCTGATGTTTAAGATTCTATTTGTGATTGTTGAAATTAAGTTAGATTTTTTTTTGAAAAGTACTTTATTTATTTATTATTTTTTTTTTTTTGATCTTGATTTAATCAAAATATGAGAATATTATAATAAGCGGATTTTTATTACAATTTTTTACCGCTGTTTTGAAATTGAAAAGATAAAATTTTTTTTGAAAATGATTTATATCGATGAATCTGATGAATAAAAACATTGAGATGTTTATCATAGAATTTTTTTTGTTGTTGTTGCTATGCGAATGAATTGAATGAGATGATAACAATTTTAAATGACTTGTGATTTAGCCATAATATTTTCCACCACCACCGCCACCGCCACCACCACCTCTTCCATAACCACCAGAAAAACCGCCGCCACCCCCTTTGCCGTAACCGCCACCACCACCACCACCATAACTCATTCTACTATTTCCACCGCCGCCACCCCCTTTGCCGTAACCGCCACCACCACCACCACCATAACTCATTCTACTATTTCCACCACCGCCTCCTCCTTTTCCGTAACCACCACCACCACCACCACCACCATATCGCATTGCTGAAACAGCGATAGCGAAAACTGCAAAGAAAACGATTATAAAGATTGATTTCATTTTCGGATATTTTCGGTTATTTTCAGGCTCAAGTGATTAGATCACAAAAAAAAACAAGTTGTTTGATGATTTTTTTTTCTTAGTTTATTGGTTGAAGATTGTTGATTGTTGATACTTTCTATCGATTGTTTGACATGCTTATATACTTGAGAAAAATTGGCTTTTCCGATAATTATTTCATCTTTAGATTATTAGCATCAATAATTTTTAATGAATTTTTTTTAAAGTCTTAGATTACCTAAAATTATCTATTTTTTTTATTTTTGGATCATTAATCTTAAATTGACCATGTGGAAATAATTTACCTGAAAATCTTTAGAAATGTATACGGCTAATTGTGAATAATGTTAATACAATGAGACAATGACAGGGCCATATGTATTTTTTTCAGTATACAAGTATTCCATTTTGATGCTAATTAAGCCAATGGAAAAACATGGCAATGAGCAATGTCATTACACTTTGGAAATTTACATTGCGGTATATGGGAAAATACACACACGCATACTAATATTGCAAAAAATACAAAAAAAAATCATCATACATTGCCTTCATCACGTTTCGTAAAAAAAAATGAAAAAATTCGAGGCAATAGAATTGAAGGAAATCAAAGATAAAACTCGATCATGTTTCAAAAGAATGGTATATTACCTATCTAGAATGTGAAAATTCTGATTATTTATTATATTAGTTATTTAAAATGTTAATGTTTTTATGTTTCACAATTGAAGGTTAACTAGCCATTTGATAGTTGTATTGTTCAAAGACCAGTTGTAAAAACTTTTGCATTCTTACAATGTACTCTCCATCATAATAATCATTATTATTAGTTTTTTTTTGTTTGTTTGTAAATCAATGTGTGTGTGTGTGTGTTTGCATTTATGTATTAGTCTTTTTACCTTGAGATTTGATACTTATTCGTTTTGTATTCAATTTGATCGAAACAAAATGATTTGATCGATGCAATAAATAGTAGTATAGTCGTCTGTTGTTGTCTTCATTTGTTCAATGTTGTTGTTGTTGTTCTATTTGTTGCTGATTAAATCATGTTGATGACGCTAACAATCATGGTGATGATTTTGACTATAAATAGAGTTCGCAGAATCGAATTGAAAATCATAAAACGAATTCAATCAGCTTTAAATTCAAAACAACAAAACAACCCCTAATAAACTAAACAAAAATGAAAGCCATCATTGCTCTCGTCTTTTTCGCCGTCTTGGCAATGGCTACTGCCCAATATCTCGGTTATGGTGGTGGATATGGCCGTGGTCTTGGATACGGAGGTAAATATTTGAAAATATCAAAAAATAATTGAACCAAAAAAAATGCCATCAAGTTTAGAATTTTCTACAAAAGTGTTATGTTTTCTGTTGATCCAAAAAAATGTCAATTTTCATTCAATTATTTCCGTTTTTTTAGGTTATGGTTATGGCCGAGCTGCTCCAGTCTACGGTGGTTACGGATACGGAGGTTATGGCCGAGGATACGGTGGATACGGAGGTTATGGCCGAGGATACGGTGGTTATGGCGGTTATGGTGGTAAATATTAAAATTAAAAAAAAAATTAAAAACAACCAAAAAAATCAACATTTTCAATTTTTTTCATATTTCCGGTTTTCCAGGTTATGGTGGTTATGGCCGTGGTTTCGGTTACTATGGATAAGCGGAAACATACTTTAACCTTTTTGGAATCCATTCTTGTCCATAAATATATATTTGCCAACAAAAAATGAATATGTTTGAATAAAATCAGTTTTTTTGGTTTTTTCACTCAAAAATTTTGTTTATTTATTTATTTTATTATTCTTTCGGTATTCCGTATCTAAAGAATCGTTGCGAAAATTATTTCAATGTTTTATTGCGTTGCACAAGCAAAAAATATATGTGCTGTCTGATAAATGACGGTCAAGTTCAAATGTAATCATAAATTGATTGAAACCAATGGCGATGATGATTAATTAATGAGATGTTAGATTTGATGAAAAAAAAATTATCGAAATTCAATCATAATTATCAATTTCCAATTTTGTTAAATATGCAGACAAATTCAATTCATATTGATCATTTGTATTGATATTGAATTTCCATGGATTGAAACTAATTTTATGCATAATTGAAAATTGATTGATACGGCATTGTATTCAACTGTCATCACAATTTTAACATGAATGACAACTAATTCTTTAATTTCCACTAGCCCGTAGGCAAATGAGAAAATAAATAATTGACAAACATTATCATCGTCGTGGGCATCGTTCAGCTTCCATCGTGTATATGTAGAGGTCTATGTCAGATTAATTACAATTTTCCAGTTCGTGAGATTGGAATTTCATTTTTTCATTTTTTTTTTTTTTGCAGCAAATTATCATTTTAATTTTCGAGGCAGACATGTATTGTTAGTCAGTATTGTGGCAACCTTAAAAAAAAAATTTAATATTATACACTGTAAATACACTCTATTATGGCTTACCATAATTTGGTATTTTGTATATATGTATGAATATTCTATAGTTGATGGAATTTTTTCCTTTTTGTTTAGCTATTTTGGGTTAATTTTCTAAGTTTGTTGATGATAATTCTTGCATCCATTGTTCCAGTCATGTTTGTATCGTAAAATTCATCATAAGCCAGTAAAAAACATCATCAATGTGATGATGATGATTAACTATAACAAAATTATAATGAAATTTAAGCTTTAACAGGTTTTGTTTCTATTTCATTTATACATCAATTTGATCCTAGTTCAAAGAACTATTTTAGATATTTTTTTTTGTTCTCATTGTTCTTCATATTCATGTTGGTTATTAGTTGATGTAACTGAATTTTATTCTACATGAAACAGATGTTTACAAGTTTTATGATGTTACTGTTGTTGTTGTTGTTGTTGTTTTCAAGCTTAGTCTATTGTCCTTTGTGAGTTTATTTCATTATTATTATGATAAGCCCCATGTGATTAAAATGAATCTGTGATATACTCGGATTCCATGAATCTGTTGTTGTTGTTGTTGCTGATGATGATGTCCATTCCAGTTTTAGAGCAAGAGAGAAAATTATACAAGGACCCGAGAGATTGTACGCTTCGGTCATTTTATTATCCAGGAAACGGTCGACTTTTATCGCTTTTATAGTGAATTTGGTCTATCTATTGGTAAATCAAACACACACACACTACACCAGAATATTAGCAAATCCTGGTCAATTTTTGTATTCAAGTTAAAACTTGAATACACAGTAGTAAATTATCACACCGAAAAAAAACTAAACTAAAAAATTTGAATTTCCAACAAAAAAAAAAAAAAAAATAATTCCAAAGATTTATTGTTTTACGCACGAACAAACACACAACAGTGATAGGATGTTTTCGTTTTTTATTTTCACTGGACCAAAGATAAATTTGGTCATCGTGGCGAGAGAAAGAAAAAAAAAATTTTATACCAAGATCATCGAAATGATGCAAACATTCATTCATTTATAGCTTATTAATACTTGAATATGCTGCATTGATAAACAAATCCAATTTTATAATTCGATTCATGATTTGAACATGAAATTTCTATATGGAAATAAATAAGGCAATTTAATTCCCAGAAAAAAAAGAAATCAAAATCAGATGACAGAATCGAATTCTGTATTTTTTTTATATGTTTAGCTTTTTCCTATTAAATTGTTCTATGTCATTTCATTTCATTTAGATTGAAAATTTAAATTTCGTTTTTTTCTTTTTTTTCCTCAAAATTTGAAATTTGTATGAACAAAAAAAAAAAAACTGTCAGAATGTATTATTTAAATTTTACATTTTCAAAATGAGTAGAAGTGAAGAAGAAAATCTAAATTGTATGATTCATTTGATCTCTTTACTGAGGCGAAACCCGATTCTGATGGCACATGTCAAATCGACAACGATTGCAATGTCAAATTCTGAAATAGAAAGCCAAATAAAATTGACTCAATTTTTCTATTCCTTCGTCTTTTTGTCGCGAAAAAAATCCTGTATTTTTTCACAAATTGAGATCTGTCCATCAATTGTCTTGAACTTGAAACTTTTTTTCTATCGAACGGCATCGATCATTTCATCAATTTTTTTTCACCACCCCCAATATTAGCAGATGTTTACTTTGGCTTCAACTAGAAAGAAAAAAATTTTCGGTACATTTTGGGGAAATCTAAAGATGCAATCTAGCGTAAACATTTGCGTGCGAGTGTATGTGTGTGTGTGTTTAATATAACAGTATGACAATTTTGTTTTTTCATGATTTTGATGTAACAATGGCCATCCGTATTGATTTGTTCCATTGACGAATATAATATATATTTTTATTATTCAACTATATCACTGTATGGTTTGTATGTCCAGTTGTTTGTTTGGTATGTTTATTTGTTAGGTTATCGGTTTTTTTTTCATTTTAATGTTTCATTCATTTCAATATAGTAATGGCACAAATACACACACGTACAATCAAAAAACCAAATGGAACATGTGACATTTTGTTCTTTTCCTTTTTTTTTTTTTTGGACGTTACATTACTATAGTAAATACTCTGAAAATATAAATGGACATAAATGGCTGGCTAGCAAGAGAAAAAAAAACAAAGTGCCAACGTTTTTTTATGATATAATATACAAAAAAAAAATGAATGTCTTTGTCATTCTCAAGTGTTGATGATAATGGATATTAGAATTTTTTCCAAGCTTTTATTTGTGTTTTTTCTTTTTATCTGGATCTTTTTTTTATAATTGTTCATGAGCAAAACAAAAATGATTGACCAATAGTTGAATGATCAGAAACATAATTTCAAGTGATTCGATTACAATTGATTCAGTTGAACAGCCAAAACAGTAAAATTGATGATTATTTCAACACCCCAATGACTAAAAACATTATTATACTGACTTTGATGATGAAAATGACAGTTTGAAGTATACAATCATCATTACCAACCGAGATAGAGAGAGAGAGAGAGAGAATCATTATAAACAGACACACATAAAGATAGATAAAGTTTTTCGTTCGATTCAATATAAGATGCATTTCATGCGTCCATGATTCATAAACGCGATCAACAATGATAACAATAATGCTAATTTACTTTTCATCACCATCACCAACAACAACAACAACAACAACCACATTGGCTATCAAGGCCAGTCATTATTATGGATGGTATTGGAAAACGAAAGTAAAATACTCTGTGGTGTTTTCTGCGATACAACTTTTTTTCAATAGAATAATTGGATCATTGAACCATTATGGATCATTCTACCATGCATGTGGTAGCTATGGATCTTAAAATGGACAATATATGATATATGAAATCAACAACAACAACGACAATTCTATGCTACCAATGCTATGTGGTTGATTCACAACAAAGACCAGAAAAAAAGAATGCATTGAATGATCGTCATGATTATTGCAACGGTTTCATCACGATGATGATGATGATGATGAACAATGGAACAAATTATTTGACAAGTATAGCGAATTACGATTGGTAACACTTGGATGATAATCGATCTTATTTATATCTATTATAATATTAAAAAATGAGATCCTGTTACCATCAATATGATATTAAGACTAATTTTTTTTTGAATTGAATGAATGAATCTAAATGGATTCATCATTGAAAAATTTGACCCAAACCAAACCATAGAATATCGGAAATGTCATAATCCAATAGTATTCCGTTTCAATTTTTTTTAAACGAATTTTTTTTTCTACAGTGATGAGAATTGTTTTATTGAGAAATTGGCTTCGGATTATTGTTGGTCACACACACATACATACACACTCCGAACAAAGATCATCAGCAAAATGAATGGATGTAAGTAAATTTTCGTGTTCTTTCCCAATATATATTCTATGTGCTTTGTGACTATGTATGTTTGATATTAATATTTTGGACACGAGGCTTACAATTAGTCATCGTTCCTGTTATTTTTACCCTGTATGTTTATGTTTATTTGTCGAATTGAAATCCAAAGTAAAAGCTAATATTAAATGAGATTCTATATGCTAGGCTATTAATTATTGAAATCGAGGTTTGTTATGGTCATTCTTATTCTTATTTGGAACCACTTTTTTTTCATTTTATTGGGTCATTTTATTTTGTCAAAAAAACGGTAATCTAGAAAATGACATAATATTATTATTCTTTACTTCATATTATTAATTATGTCATGTAATATAATGTATTTGGTACTTGTATCACATGAACAAACAACACACACACACAAAAATTTTGACCAAAGTAGACAAACATTATTGGTGGCAAATATAAATGTTCCATCACATCGACATAAATCATTGTGAAAATTGAGTCAACCAACTAAATAGAAATAGAGGGAAAAGTCAAGATAACTAGCCAAACATTGATAGCTCAAATAAATATTTTCATTCTGACAAACTTAAATAACAAACTCTATAGAGTAGCGATCCAAATATTTTGGCCAATGGATTAATCCAAATTATACTCATAAAGTTAAAACTCCTCATATCAATGAACTTTTTTTTTTGAAGAACAAAAAAAAAAATAGAGCATTCATTATAGTCTCTTTTGTACTGAGAATTTGTTGTTGTTGTTGTTGTTGACGATGATGATGATGATGATGATACACACGAATTATTTATTGATGGATCGTTTATAACTGAAAATCACTTTAAAACATTTTAATGAAAAAACAAACAAAAATGATCTTCAATGACATTGAATTATTGGTACAACATTTTATCGACATTATTCTCTGTGGTAATCATAAATCTTTCAATC